TGGGGCCTTCTCTTACTCCAGCTTACACAAAGCTATAAATGGAAGTTCAACTGATTTTTGTTCCCTGTTTGAGATATTTTGATGTCCTTCCTTGAAAGCAAAACCAGGAACCTGAGGAGTAGACTGACTTGAAGAGAGAACTAATTTTCTGAAGATGTGGACTTGGATTGGAAGAATGGCTGGGGGTTTGCAGGGAAAGATGACACATTTCAGTACCTCTGGCATGCTGTCCCAGGGAACTAGGGCTCCCGCTGATTTTCAAGGTTTTTAAACATGTTGAAGATGACATGGTGTTAAAATAAAATTCAATTTGCTCATAATGTGCCTTTGTATGTTGCTGTTATATGATGGAGGTATTGTTGAGAGTGATACAAATGCTGGATTCCCTGAAAATGGCAGTAAATTACCTGAAATTCTTGGTCAAAAAAAAAAAGTGTACATCTGAGATGAATGCACACTTCTCAGATGAAGAAATTCAAACAGAAAATAAATACATGAAAAAAATGTTTAGCATCATTTATTATTTGTGAGATACAAATTAAAACAACACTGAGATTCTATCTCGCTCCAGAAAGGACAACTATAATCAAGAAATCAACCAACAACATATGCTGGCAGGGCTAGGGGTAAAAAGAAAGGCTTCTCTACTCCTGGTGTGAGTGTAGACTGGTGAAACCACTGTGACAATCACTATGGAGATTCCTTAAAAAGCCAACATTAGACATTGATATCTTACAGAAAACCCACTACTATTATGGACTATTGGACTATATTGGAATATTTTGCTGAATTCACACAGCTACAGTATTTAAATGATGATGGAATGCCCTTCTCTGACAAAACTAACCAAAAAAGGGGGATACAAATGAATGACCATTTTGTATCTGTAACTCAAAATAGAATAGATATACAGCTCCATTCTCTTAATGCAATAAGTAGAGAAGTTTGTTCTACTAGTGTTTGAGACAGGATATCAGGTCTGCATCTTGAATAATGATAAACACTAAAACAGCAATATGCAGTGTATTAATTATTGAAAATGTGCTAGCAATTTGTTGTGAAACTGTCTCATTGTTATTTGTTTCTCAATAAAAATATTTTTAAAAATAAAGTAGAAAAAAGAAAGAAAGAAAGCCAACATTATAGGCCTCATTCAACCCAGTTAGTCCCCTTCTGGGTATCTTCCCAGAAGAATTTAAAATATTATACCACAGCATTATATGTGTACTCATGTTTATAGCAGCAGAATTTGTAATAGCTAATCTTAGAAAGAACCTAAATGCCCATCAACTGAATAATGCATAAAAAATATGAAGGCTTTTTTTAATATAGTGGAGTACTACTTGGACATAAAGAAAGATAAACTGGAGACTTTTATAGGTAAATGCATGTAGCTCAAGATCATACTCATTACTGATATAAGTCACAACCACACGTGTGATTATTGTATTGTCATGCCTATATTTTTTACCTTGACTATTAAGAATATAACAATATGCTGTATATTAATTTTTGTTACTCTTCTACTAGCCTGGTAAAACTTTGTTTTACTGTTATTTTTATTTTTTCCCTTAAAAAACAATTATATCAAAATGATGAGCATGTGTGACTGGTTAAAGGTGATATGTGTCTTCACCTTGTCCAGACCCAGCACTACCAACTCTGGATTTGTTATAAAAATATATAGTTTATTATGAATTTAAGTATAACAACTTTTTGAAATGGCTGAAATTCTACAAACCAGGGAAGGAAAAGATGTGGAATATACAGCAGAAGACAAATAATTAGGGACCAGTTTATGATAGTGGATAAGAGCAGATATTATCAAATGGGATAGAAATAATATTCTCCATATTCTCTTTAAAAGAACTATATGAAACCACATAAAAGTGTGGAAAACAGTTACACAAAAGGATACATCAGACAAATGTCAATCAAGAAACATAGCATGCAAAGTAGAAACTGCACATACATTTCCCTAGGAATACAGAGGGATGGTCCTTTTAGAACATCATAGTAACTGTGACAGGTGCTAAACTAAAAGTACAGACTTATGAGAAGTGATTGACAGTATGAAACAAATGGAGAATTTAAAAACATTTTCAGGGGCTGCGGAGATAGCTCAGTAGAATAAGCACTAGCCTGGCAAGCGCAGCGACCTGAGTTCAATTCCTGGTTCCACCTAAATAAATAAATAAATAAAATCAAAACATTTTCAGGGGGAACTACCCTCTCAGGCCCCCCTCCTGTCCCTCTCTTAGACAGGAGCTTTCTTTCTCTCAATAAATATATTCTGCTAAAAAAAAAAAAAAAAGACATTTTCAGACATAAAACCTAGTAAATAGTAGGTAAACAACAAAGTTATCAGGCATTATCTATGCATATCCCACAGATACAGAGACCTGACCTGACACTTTTTTGTCAGAAAATACTTTCATGTATCTAAGAACAGCTTTACAAAAGTTGATCATAGACCAGCTAACTAATTCTTACTAAATTTGAAAGAATCACTACCATAGAAGAAAACTTTATTTGTTGAAAATTCAATAAAACATTAAAGTAAGAATGCTACTTGATAGGGGCTGGGGAGATAACTCGACAGTCTAAGTGCCTCCCTGGCAAACACAAGGACCTGGGTTCGATCCCCAGTACTACATGCCGTGCTGCCCCCGAAATTGGGGAGGCTGAGTGAGACCCTGTACCAAATAAATATGTTTGGGCTGGTGAGATGGCTCAGTGGTCTAAAACACCTACTTAGAACAAGCTTAGCCAAAGCACAGGGACCAAGGTTCAATCCCCCAGTACCACATGCCAGCCAGCCCCGCCCCCTGGTGGGCTGAGCTGGCCACACACACACACACACACACACACACACACACACATAAATAAATAAAAAAAAGAATGTTATTTGAATTTTTAAAAATATGCCTCAATATTGATTACAGTGACAATTATGAAAGATTTAAACCCGGCGGCAGTGAAAGCAGGCATGACACAACATGGTAGATGTGGCCGGTGGCGCCTGAAGGCGAACTTAAGAGCATAATCCATTTATGGATTATGAAAAAACAAGAATGACTGAAGTAAGCTGAACATTATAC